GAGTACGGAACACTCTCTGAAAATTAACCACCAATAAAAAGGCAACACTTCATAAAAAGTGCTTCCGTTTTTTCCCCTCTAGATCCGCATCCGCTCCCTTTCTCTGATCTTTTGTCCTCCTGTTGTCTGCCTGTTGCATGCCCCTCGAAAACTACTTTTTAGATGATGTTGTAATCGAGGAGTCGTCGTTTGGGTAAACACCCTTAATTTGATTTTTAGCGCCACTTAATAGGAGGGCACTTTTTTTACATACTCGTACGAGTGTATAGGGTGTGTTTTTTCATTTTTTTTATAGATGGGGAGGGTAAAAAATACGAACATGGTAATTGGTGTATCCGATGGCTGCCTCGCGATGTGTGGCACGATTATGTAATTGACCTTTTGAGGGGAGAGCAGGGGCAATGGGCGTGGCATGATCGGATATTTTTTAAGGGCATAATAGTCTTCTTTAAGGGGTGTCACTATGGGTTCTGCGTAGGTTGTACGGTGATGAGGGGATAGGGGATGAGCGTTGATTAGTTTATTGATTTTGGATGATCTGTTTGTGGTAGATGATCCTTTTCGATTTTAAGGCCTTTTAGTTATATCCTTTCTGGATCTATAGTTCTGTTGATCTTCTTCAGAGGCTTTCCTGAGATTCCCTATAGTTTTTATTGATTATTTTTAGCAATTTAGATTATTCTTGAAGCGTATGCTATTCCATTTTTAATAGAATCCAACCTTCCCCCCCAACAACAGATCCTTGCCATTTCCCTGAACTCTCCTCACATTTTCTGGCCATCATCTGCTGCTGCTGCCTTTGTCTTTATAATGAATTCATCACATCAAATGCTGATCCCGATCGCATGTCCTGTCGATTGCCTCAGAAAGAGAGCCAGACAGAACGAGAGAGAGAGAGAGTTTCCAACAATTGAATCCAACAACAAATGCACAAAATTCAAATGTCATTCAAATAACGGCTGTGAGGACAATGGACCGCCAGGACGAGGCACGGGTCCTAGGACCCGGAGTGGGAGTACACCGTACCATAACAGAAGGAAAAGGTGGATGAGAGGTCATTGGAGTGGGAGCAACGCCTGCATCTCATTTCGTCTTCGCTTTCGAATACGATTTGTATGCGGCGGCGTGGCAATATCCTGGGCACAGGATACATGTTCATATATTGTTATTATACTCCTCTTCCATCCGGTGCTGGGCTTCAGCTGATGGACGGCTAGAAAAACATCCAAAGGCGACAATGATGATGACGAGGACAAAGTTGGACTCTGGCAATGTCAATCGCACTGGCATGGCACTGGGTGAGGAGAGGCCCAGCGGTCTCGACTTCCTTTCTGCCGCCAAACCGCACAACAGATGAGGGACTGTGAAGACCTGATCCTGATTCTGATCCTGATCCCGATACGACCGATGGATGGTCGGTACGTTCAGGTTTCTTTCTGCCCCGATAAGCGTGACATTTTCATATTGTTGGCGATCTAAATCTGTATGCCATTCATGCCATTGATGGCCGATGGCGTCTTCGGCCTTCGTCTGAGGCCAATCACACGCTGAAGGGATTAGCAGAAGTGAAGTTTTTTATCTGGGCTAATTGGAGCGTTCTCTTCCGAGATAGATAGTCCTAAGCGGACAGCCATGAAATGAGAGTCCATTCAGGCGATGGGATAGCTTTGATTATGCCTTCCTCAGTAAGTACTTTCTTTATGTCCGACGCAATTGGCGTTAAATCTGAGCTGACATTTAGCCAAGGTCTCAAATTGAGCTGGAAACTTTCTTCGATCGCGAGTGTGATTCTTATAAATTTTTGGCAGCTGTTGAAGGAGTGAAGGACCCCCCTGGAGCATCTCGAATGGAAGCAGGAGTCTTTTTCCCATTGATTTTGGAGCACAACAAATTTTCATAGCTTGAAAAATTACCCAAAAACTACCAGAAATTAGGGCATAACTCCATAACTCTGTAAAAGAGGGGGGCCCACCGAGAGTCTAGAGCCAGGGGCAGATGTCAAAGATCTGCTAAAGATCACACTAAACATCGTCGCCAAAGAAGGAGCTGCTCGACTCAACTCATTTGAATGAGAAGGAATTCCATTTCCCGGGAAAAACAAACACACACTCCCAAATCCCAAAGGAGCAGACATAAGAAAATCATTTGTGAGACACCCTTAAAGCCATCGAACACTCGGGGGCTGAGGGAAGAGGTCCACAAGGGTCGCCTTTTGGAATGTAAATGTCGCGTGTTCGGAGACGCGACGTTGGCGCGTAAGATTTGTGTGTTTCCGGGGTCGCAATGCCAGTCGGGGTCGGGGTTCGCCTATAATAGGCTCATTTCCTTGCCTGCTCCTTGGCTCCTTGCGCCTTGCTCCCTGCTTCTTTAGGATCGTAATAGCGTAAACATTTAACGGGAGCGTGCGCTGCGCACGCGCAACATTGCCTCACGCGCTCGATCGACCCTCGACCCTCGACCCTCGATCCTAACCTCTGACTGATCCCCGATCTTTGGTTCGCTTGTGAGCTATTGTTTGATTTCCTTGAGGATTTTCGCGTCTTATGATTGATTCAGTGTTTTGTATTTATTGTTATTCCCATGATTTCTCCATGTTACACGATCACAATCTTGTGGCATTCTCTCTCTGTGGCAGCATGATTAATCTTTGATGCTTCTTTGTGGGTGCAATAGCATTGGGGATTTCGGGAGAGGGGTTCCAGTAGTTTGTTTGACAAATATTGAAGCGATCCATGATTTGACATACAAAATGTAAGGTCAGAGATGGTTTTTTTTAGTGGTTGAATGGAAAGCGGGGAAAAGCTGAACTAATGGGAATGAAAAGAAAGCGGGAAATCGAAGAGATTTATTGATATTCAATGGCAAAAGAGTTTTGGAGTAGTTTAAGAATATATTTTAAATAGAGAATTTATATATTTTGATAAAGGTTACTAAATTATGGTTGGAAATATGTACATATATGTATATGCAGAGCTGAACCAACCATTAAGGGAGACATTGCAAATGTTTAGAATATCTCGAGTGACTATTTATTAAATTATGTCTCGATTTAAATATGATCTACATCCCTTTTAGGTCCCTTGAAGTCAATCCTTCACATGTGATCTTGCGTTCTATCCTTCCCTTAAACCTTTTCCCATTGGGCTATTCCCAACAGCAGCATCCTAAACTCCTGCAGCAGCCGCAACATGATGCATGTGGCATATTTAACACCTCCAATTCATAATGAATGAGTTAAGAGCATCAACAAACTAAGCAAGAACATATCGATCGCCAGCTACTGCGCTTGCGTCCCATGTGAACGAGAGAAGTGCTTGTTCGGATACGCCAGGGATACGCCCGCATGGGGCATGGGGCATTGGGCATGGGGCAGGACATGTGTTAATCAAGCAGCAACCTCAGCAGCATTGTGCATCGTATAACTCTCTGCTGCTCTGCCCTGCAGATGGACTAATTTTTGTGTAACAACGGGGAGTGGAGTGGAGTCGAGTGCAGAGAACAGCTGCCAGAAGGACTAAAAATAGTTGAGAGGCAAGGTGCAGGCAAGGCTCTACTCCGTTTCGATGGGTAGAAAAGGCCTAGGGAGAGGGGGTACTGACACAATTTATGTGACAGAATTCTCATGTTTGCGCTTAATTTTCATTTAATTTTTATGGGCGCCAAAAACTGTCAGACAGGCAACGGCTGCTGCTGCTTCTGCTTTTTGGATGCTGTGATACCCGGCCAATTAAGGCCATTTATCTTGGAAGGATTTCAGAGGTACGAGTGACAAAGAAGGTAACATGAGCTAAAAAACCAACAGAAGACACAAACTGTGACAAAGAGAGAAAAGCGCAATTGTTGCAGAACTACAATTGAATGCAATCCGGAAGTGTACTGCGTGGACAAGGATCGATGGGAAGGCCATCGCCCAAGCGGTTTTGACGATCGACTCACTCAAACAGGAGAAAAACTGAGAGAGGAGAGATGTGCTCACTGAGAGACTCACTCGCGCTCTCTCTCTCTGAGAGAAGTCTACCCCTAAGAACTGAGTGGATCTCTGGAATCTCTATCCATCCATAGGGGTTGTCCCTAAGTAAGGTCAAACTTGACCTCTAAGACGACCTCAATGTCGGGTGGGTGAAAGATTCGAGCGAGCGCGCGCGCTCTCTGGTTGCTCTTTTTGTTTGTCCGCTTCCTTCAGCAGGGTCATTGTCTGACCTTTTCTGCTCGCCGTTCTCTTTCTCTTTTGGCACCCGCTTGCCATTGTCTTTGGGCCTCTGGCATCGTTGACAAAGGCAAGGGGCATTGCAATAAATGTGATAAAGATTGTTTTTTGTCCCTGTCCGAGCAATTGCTTGGAGACCGTGCCATAAATTGCCCGTGGTCCCAGACCAGTGATCGCTGACCGTTGATCGCTGGGTTGCGTCTACGCTGAATGATGCCTTAATTGTTGCACGGCAGCTGAAACTGACCGATTCCTTTGAACTATCCAGCATTTGTGGGTGTTTAACGTATGTTTTGCTGGGTTTAAATGGTTCGCTTTTGATTGTGCGATGCATATATGGACGTCGCACATATGTAATCCCTTTATTTATTGCTATAGAAGGAAAGTAGAATGAGGAATTTGCACCCAGTACTCTAGATAAGTCATATTAAAATATTTTGCAGAGTATAGCTAAATTTGAATTTAACGGTTTCAAAATTGAAGCGTATTATGTAAGATTGCCGTTTTCCACCACTTCGAAATCGCTTGTGGCGCTATCTGTTGATAATTACATGAACTAATATATAAAAAGGGCTGGCCGAACAGCTGTTCGTCTGACGAAAGATTTCAAAGAACGGTTGGAATCTGAAACTACAAGTACACGGGGCTCCAAAAAAGCCCCAATTCGATCCAATTTTTGTGTACCGTAAATTATCGTATAGAGGCTACGCTTCTGTGTTACCTCTGAAATCCTTCCAGCAGTAGCAGCAGACGTTGGCAGTTTTTGGCACCCATACAAATAAATTTTTTTTTTTTTATAATTTTAATATTTGTGTTCGAAAACATTGGTAGGTAGATTGAAGGAAAAAATTCGTTGTAGATAATCTTTGATTTCTTCTTTGGTTCCTCAGTGGGTGTTAAATTCGGTTTCCGTTAAATATTAAGTTCTGCTGCCTGCCAGCCATCTGCCTAGATGAAGGCCAATTCGGGAATCTCTCTGTTTTCCTTCATTTCGAGAAACATTTTGGTGGCCCGTTCAAAATCCCATTCGGCCGACTCCACGATTCTTGTGCACCAGGGAGATGTTAGGCCGGTAAGCTGCTGGAACAAAATGAGCTTGTGGCTCTTGGCATCAAGTGAGTCCTCGGAGGCTGGCGCCATTAGACGATCCTTTGGCAGTGGGCAGACCTTGAACGCACCTTCTAACTGTTTCCTCGAGGGATTCATGATGCTCAGGTGGTCATTAGAGATCTTCCATCGGCAAGCCTTCTTGCCAAAGCCCTGGAAATGATAGATGGTGAATGAATCAATTCAAAATAGTATCTCCAATGGTGTCCTACCAGTCCCTGCTTATCAACCTTGAGTACGAAGTTCCTGGTAAAGGCCAAATAGAGCTCCGCCTGGTTATGGGTGGTCGGAGAGTCATCGCGCATCAGACCCGTGACATGAATAACTGCCGACTGGCCATTGTAATGCATCACATCCGTCTGGACGGAGAGAAAGTCGTGGACGATACTCGGCAGCTCCATGAGCACGCCAATGATCTCCATCAATCCCACATGGAATTCGTTTGTGGCTTTGGTATAGTCCGACCACTTTTTGATGTCTCGCGAATGCTTGGTGTACTTTGAGATGCGCTTAAAGAGCTGGGCGTTGAATGATTGCGAGCGCCCCATCACATAGTTGCAGGTCATCGTGAATATGGAGTCTTCCGTGTAATATTTCATCAGGCGGTTGGCCCGCATGTCTGCCTGCTCGAACTCGCGCAGATAGTTGCTGAGAAATACGTCGCCCACCAGCTCGTAGGCCCCAATGTCGCAAAGGAAGTTCTTCTGCGGCGCCTGGCCCGGCTTGCTGCTCAGATCCACCCCATCCAGCGTCGTAAGTTGGGGGAAGATTTTCTTCACTGCCTGGATATAATCATTGGGCAGGCCGTACTTTCGGCACAGCGGATTGCCATGGAGTCGAAGCGACTTTAGCGGCAGCTCACCTAACGCCTTGATGTCCTCCAAATCGTTTATCCAATTGTGGCCCAAATCCAGGGCCCTCAGGCTCCCCATTCGGGACAGGACGCGCGCGGCGTCTATCCTGAAAATATTATTGTTGCACAGACGGATCTCTGAGCAGTTTGACATGAATTGACGCGAGATAATTGTCAGAATATTGTTCAGAATCCTCGTCGAGCCCATGTGGACCCAAAGGCCCTTGAGGCCCTCGTTTGCCTGGAAGTCTGACATTTTGAGCAGCTGATTCTGGGCCACATAGCACTTCTGTATGCATTTGGTAATCCTCTCCTGGGGATCCACATGATGGAGCTTGAAGCGGCTGACATTCATGCGCAGATAGAACGGAATAGTACGAGGACCCATGCACACATCTGGATCTTCTACGTTTGTTACCGTTACGGGAATTGGTATCTCCAGATTACAACTGTGCACCAAATACGCAATCTGTTCGAAGCAGTTGCGCACTAGAAAAATGTGTTCCTTTCCGTCAAACTAATAAAGGATTGAGATATCAAAACACATGAGGAAAATCCTTAGATGAGACCTCACCTTGTAGTAGCAGGGATAGATCTCGCTCAGAAATTGGTTCGCCGTAAGAAAGAATAATCTAAAGAGACATGTTTCAGTTAGCGCGTGCATGGGATCAGGTACCTAAAGGTCACAGATAAGTGGTAAAAGTGCTGACTTGGGGTTGGGATTACAAACCAGAAAGGCATGCCAATCTTCGCTATGCTCAAAATCAGCCAGCTTCGATTTGTTTGTCCAGTCAATGCGTATGCCATCCGACTCCAAATCAATATCATAATTCAGGGGCGTATAGGTTTTGTGGAGCTTGTCGTAGGGAATGCCATCCACCATACTGAAGTTTCCCTGCAGCGCCTTGATGTTGTTGGGATATTTGGGCCCCTTGGTGATGGGATTGTTGGCCAGCTTCAGTTCCTTTGCACGAACACGCTTTAATTCACGGCACAGACGAACCGAAGAACCAATCTGAAAATGAATTCTTTCTCGATTTGATGCCTTACTTTACACCCCACACATACCTTGTTTTCACTGAGATCCAGCAGTCCATATTCGATATCGCCAAAGAGTTTCAGAGGATCCACGCTCTTCATGTGATTGTTCGCGAAAATGAACCCATTCACCGCGCTAAAGTGCTCATCGTTATGATAGATGCTGTTGCAGACATGCTTTAAGGTGGCCACATTTGCCAGACTAACCACAATGTTCTTGAAACAGGGATTCGCCCCGAAGTTGCTCAGATTCAAAACGCCACGCACGCCGCTATGCACTTCCAGACGCTCCATTAAGCGCGAAACCTCCTGAGAAATTAGCAGAGGAGGCGAGATCTGCTTGCTTCTATTGGCGGCCACACCAAACTGCACGCTTATATCTACAGTGGCGCCGGAGGAAAGCCTTAAGCAGAGCTTCTGGGCAAACAGCTTATCGATCGCCGGTTTGCAGGCACGCGCCACAAATTTGTCGGCGCGAGGACCACACTGAAAAAGGAAAAGTTTACAGTGGAAGGATAGCAAAAGTTTTTCATGGAAAGCCAACCTCATAGGCCACCGGATAGAACTCCTCGCCGTCAATCACATCAAAGATGGCTTCGAGTATCACTTGTTTTGGATTCTCCAAATACTCGAGTTGTCCCAGATGATGTATGGAAAACTCATTCCAGCTCAAGCCCGGCACCCGATCACCATAAGTTGAGCAGTTTCTAAATATCCTGGGGTCGGGATAATCCACCTGGATCGGCAGGGATCCATCCGAAAAGTTTAACACGTATCTTTGGCCTTTCGACATGAATTAATTATAATGTTTTAGTTAAATTCTTCAATATCTTACTCCGGGGGTCCATCTTTTTGCGTTGAAACTGGGGCAGTGCTCAAAATCGGCACTTTGGAAAAGTCCACCACTAGGACCCTATGCACCAAATACAAAAACTTTGTGACAAAATCTGAGTTATGCCCAAAACTCAATAACTCAACCTAGGCGTTAATAATATATAAATTATTATTATGTGGAACGTTAGTTTGTCTAGCAAGTAAAGAGAAAGGATGGAACTACAAGAAGAACTTTTATTATTGTTCGAAATATTTTCAACACTTAAGCTCAATTTGTTGCCCTTTTTAAGTCAAGGGGTCTTAGGTGGGTTAAGATCGATTTTTCATCGGTATATTTTTAAAATGAGACTGTATTTTTCGGTATATTTCTGAGGGTCGGACGGTATATTTTATCCATAAATCCACTGCTAGGTTTTTTCAAAACAAAACAAAAGATGAGCCAATATAGCCACGTTAAGTATACAACATCACCGACACCATCCGTGGTGTCCGGCTACTCGAGTGCTTCGCGGCTCCACTCGCACCTACCGCCCCCGGCGAACCATCGGAAGGATTGCCTGTCAGCGACCACAAAGAGCTACAAATATCTGCGACGTCTGCTCAAATTCAATCAAATGGACTTCGAATTTGCCCTGTGGCAAATGATCTATCTTCTAATAGCACCGCAGAAGGTGTATAGAAACTTTAACTACAGAAAACAAACCAAATCACAATTCGCCCGCGACGATCCGGCATTTCTGGTGCTCTTGATTGTCTGTCTATGTGGTAGGTCTCGTCCCACCCACTCGTCGTACCCCATAATGAAAGTTTCTGATACTAATTTCTCTACTCTACTCTGCAGTGACCTCCCTGGGATTTGCCTATGTCTTGGGGTTGAGCCTCTTGCAAAGCATCGGCTTTATCTTCTATGTGATTTTTGTTGACTGTCTTCTTGCTGGAGTTATTATTGCATCATTCTTCTGGGCGATTACAAATCGCTACTTGCGCACCAACAGCCTGGAGCCGGACATTGAGTGGGGCTATGCCTTCGATGTGCACTTGAATGCCTTCTTTCCGCCCCTTATGTTGCTTCACTGCATCCAGCTTTTCTTCTACAACTGGCTTATAAGTCATACGTGGTTCATATCGCGGTTTCTGGGCAACACTTTCTGGCTTTTCGGCATGAGCTACTATGTATATATCACCTTCCTGGGCTACAACTGTGAGTAATTGGGATTGGACATTGGAATTCAGATATTAATTTTTGTTTCTCTTGCAGGCATTCCCCATCTGAAGAACACCCGTCTCATACTCATTGCTCTGCCCATTATTTTCCTATTGTATCTGGTCGTTACAATCATTGGCTGGAATGCCACGATATCCTTTGTCAACTTCTACAAGTATCGCGTTTATTAAACGACCGACGTGCATTGTAAATTATTCTGCTTTTAGCTGCTAAGCACTTCGCCCTCCCCTCTACGATTATGACTAATAAACTAAACGATTTAGCATTATACAAAGCTATAGGGCTCATCTTGTACAAGTTCTCAAAAGTTCTTTAATCATACAACATGTTTTGGCTTTATTAATCTACGAATGGATAACAAATGCATTCTTTAAGCAAGCTGTTTGGGCTTCACAAAGGTGCGTTTCCGCTTATTGCGTTTGCGCTGCAGCTCCAGGCTGTGCAGTTCCGTGTGGACCTCGGCGAAGACCTCCTTCTGCTCTTCCTCGGGTATGGTGGAGCGATATTGCTTCATCAGATCGTACTTCTCCCAAGGCTTTTGCACCTTCTCCGCCGATTTGCGGTGCTTGTCCTTAATATACTGATCAATATTCGCCACACCGCGTAGATTTTGGCGCTCCCAACGCTCCAACCAGGGCCGCGGACGGAGTACAACTTTGATATCATTTACCGGCACTGGAGCGCCCTCTTCTAGATGTTCGGCTTCCATGTTCTCATCAAACGTGCTGAACTCCGGCAGAGCGTCACGGAGGTAAAACAGGTTGTCATCCAGCCGCTTTTCGAGACGTAGCACTTCTACCTTTTGAATGGTGGGATCGTATAGTTCGTAGACCACCTCCATGCCCTGGTGATCAATCACGTTCCGTAGTACGAAGCGAGCGCGGAGACCACAACGGTCACGATTTATGCAAATCCCGACAAAGCGACTTGTCTTGCCCGCAGCATGGGGATCGGAGCTGGTCACCGCCATTATAGAGCCCACATAAAACTCGGGCAGATCGATTTGACGCCGCCGGTCCAGCATATCTAAACGTTCCAGCTTCTCACGGATCGGATTGCGCCACTCTACTTTGGGGTCGGGCAGGAATTCGGGATAAATGAACCGATAGTTCGAGGGTACAATGGGTTTTCGCACTGGCGTGGGTGTGGGTGTAGGTGGCTGAGCTGCAGCGGGAGGAGTCGCGCTAGTTTTCTCTTCTCCTGGCGGTTCGGCGCCTGCCGATGAGACAGCGGCGGCGGCATGTTGCGTGGCTTTCGTGGAAAATGTGACTGAAAAAAGGTATTCAATGTACGTTTTGCGATGGGAAACTAACAAGTACGTACCGATTCGATTGAAGGCCGACTGCTGTGCCCATACTTTGCTCATAGCCCTGGCGCTGTTCATTTTAATAATTTTACTTCGAAATAAATGTTTAGATAATCGTGATGCAGTGTGGACGTTTCACAACCAGTGTGACCTGCTACATTTTGCATTTGTTCGATAACCTACAAATTTCTCAGCTGATTTTAGAACGATAGAAAAATTTAAAATTTCTTAAAATGGACGACTATTTACATTATTTGTCCACATTGTTCTTACTTTATTTGGTGCGCTCGCTCCTCCATAGATGGTACGTTTATATCCCAGTAATAAAAAGAGAGCAAATCCCACATATAGAGAGAAAAGCACGGGCATTCGATATTATCGACTGGATGGTATACTGTATGGTTAGTGGTAGAGCTGCGCGCCTGAGTTTGAATGTGAAAGAATGACAAGGATATAAACGCAATCTATTGAAATAAATAATGGAGGGAAGCACTAATCAAGATGTACAGAAATATTCAAATTTAAAATGAAGACGATCATATCAATTTAAATAAGGAATATTTGTATTGTATTTATTGTATTTATTTAATATTGCATATTCGTATATTATAATTTAAACTATATAGACTGTCGTGTAAAAATATTTAACAAAAAGCAACTTCCACTTGTTTGTACTCAAAAATAAAAGCGTAACACACACAAATATTAAGTTAAATGTTAGATTAAAAAATATTTAGTTAAAGAAAAAAGTCATGTCAATGAAAAAATGCTTCAAGCGATTTCATCCTTAATCTGCAAAGAGAAAAAAAAACCAACAAAAATTAAAGATTCTATGAAAATCGGACACGAGGCACGTACGTCCAAATGCTGTCCAGGCATATTGTTGTTATTCGACGCCTTTCTTTCGTGTATCTCCAGTTTATAACTTTCGTCAAAGCTTTTTTCCTTCTTCTTGAGGAACCCTTGATTATTTTTCTCGTTACGACGTTCGCAATTGTGAATATTACGAAAGTGTTGTTGTAGTGCGTAGTTATCTCTAAATTTTTTGTCGCATTGCGGGCAATCGGAATGGTGATCACCAGTGTGGATACGATTGTGCTTAAGCAGGGTATACTTGCGCGGAAAAGTCTTGTCGCAAGCCAAGCACTCGTAAGGACGGTCGCCAGTGTGAATACGAGTGTGCTCAGCTAGGTGTATCTTGCGAATAAATTTCTTCTCGCAAACCAAGCACTCGAAAGGACGGTCGCCAGTGTGGATAGTAGTGTGCTCATCTAGCTGAGCCTTGCGCGAATATTTCTTCTCGCAATACGTGCATTCAAAAGGACGCTCTCCAGTGTGAACACGCATGTGCCTAGTCAGGGAATGTTTATAGGTAAATTTCTTACCGCACTGCTGGCATGTATTTTCCAGTTTTCTGGTTGGGGATAAAATACCCGTTAAGACGAAAATCCATAATGGAAAAAGATAGACTTACATTGGCAAGGATTGGGTCATGCAGCTCTTCTTTGTGGGGCTTGATATAGCAGGGTCGGGGTCGGTGAGCTTCATCCTGGTGTGAGTAAAAAAGTATTTAATGTCTATTAGATCATTCGTTATGATTGAAAACCTACTTCTTTTTCATTGTTGGACTCTTTGAGCGACTATTAGCGTCATGGCAGGAAAACATTTCTAAAACACTCTTCTTCGAGTCGGAGTCGACCTGTTTTCTGGTTGGGGTTAAAATACACGTTAAGACGAAAATCCATAATGGAAAAAGATAGACTTACATTGGCAAGGATTGGGTCATGCAGCTCTTCTTTGTGGCGCTTGATATAGCAAGGTCGGGGTCGGTGAGCTTCATCCTGGTGTGAGTAAAAAAGTATTTAATGTCTATTAAATCATTCGTTATGATTGAAAACCTACTTCTTTATCATTGTTGGACTCTTTGAGCGACTATTAGCGTCATGGCAGGAAAACATTTCTAAAACACTCTTCTTCGAGTCGGAGTCGACCTGTTTCTTAACCCTAGGGAGTGTGACTCCTCGGCTACGCTCTAGTTGCCCTTGCTCACCAGTGTGCTCTTTACTGTGGATCTGCAGATAAAGGATGTCGATGAATTCCGCATTGCATTGTTGGCATTTAAACAGGCCATTGTCACTTTGCTTGACACGGTGCTTCATCACCTCATGGATGTTCGGCAATGAGCGCGGGCAACGCGTGCAATCTAAGGCTGTCATTGGAATGTAGTTCTTGGTATGTCTCAACAGACTACGATGCCTATGCTCATTAGTGTGCTCTTTACTGTGGATCTGCAGATAAAGGATGTCGATGAATTCCGCATTGCATTCTTGGCATTTAAACAGGCCAACGCCGCTGTGCGTGACACGGTGCTTCATCACCTCACGGATGTTAGGGAATGAACGCGGGCAACGCGTGCACTGTAAGGCTGTCATTGTAATGTCGTTCTTGGTATGTCTGAACAGACTACGATGCCTATGCTCATTAGTGTGCTCTTTACTGTGGATCTGCAGATAAAGGATGTCGATGAATACTGCATTGCATTCTTGGCACTTAAACAGGCCATTGTCGCTGTGCTTGACACGCGGCTCCCTCAGCTCATTCATGTTCGATAATGATCGCGGGCCCTCAAAGGCTGCCAGTGGAATGTTCTCTTGTTGATGTCTCCCTAGACTACGTTCATTTGCATAAAAGCGTGAGCAGTGGGGACACTTATGGCACATCTTATCAATGTGAAATTCGAGCTTGTCCTGTGAGTCAAAACATTTATAGCATTGCGGACATGGAAGTTCTGCGGTACTACGAATTTTTCTGGGAGAAATGCTTTCCAGACGATCATTGTTGAGGTCTACTAGGGTCCTATTTTTCTGCGACGGACTTTGATACGTGTTCTTACTTCTAAGAGGCTTCCTTTTGCTGCTTTAAGGGGAAAATTAACAATGATTTGGTTTTAAAAGCCAAGTACTTACATTTCCGCCATCTGATTGTTATTGTGACTGGTGGTATGTCTTTTCGGGTGGTTCTCAGCTATAAATCCTTTGCCACAAACATCACAAAGAAAACGCATCGTGCCACAGCGACGCCTGGGGGATAATATCTATTATAATTTATAAACTCTGCTCAGTAAAATTTACCTTGCCGCTCCACTTGAACTCATACGGTGTGACCAACTTTTCCCTGTCATCGCTTTCTTGGTTCTCGGTAGAGGTGGAAAAACATCGATGATACACCATCGATGCATCGATATTTAATAATTTTTTTAAACATCGATTGTTTGTGGGTTGGTTGGGTTCGTTGGAAATCTAGCTTTATATAAATTAATTATAATAATATTTATGGGAGTGGCGTGGCGGCAATAGGAACAAACTTCCAGTCGTTTTAGAGTAGTCAAAAATAGGGGCATAACAAAAGAATTATTCAGTAATGTAAGCAGTCCTTATATGTTTAAACAAATGTCATGTCAACAAAACATTGCTTCAAGCGATTTCATCCTTAATCTGCAAAGAGAAAAAAAAACCAACAAAAATTAAAGATTCTATGAAAATCGGACACGAGACACGTACGTCCAAACGCTGTTCAGGCATATTGTTGTTATTCGACGCCTTTCCTTCGTGTATCTCCAGTTTATAGCTATCGTCAAAGCTTTTTTCCTTCTTCTTGGGGCAATCGGAAGGGTGACCGCCAGTGTGGATACGATTGTGCTTAAGCAGGGTATACTTGCGTGGAAAAGTCTTGCCGCAAGTCAAGCACTCGTAAGGACGGTCGCCAGTGTGAATACGAGTGTGCTCAGCTAGGTGTATCTTGCGAATAAATTTCTTCTCGCAAACCAAGCACTCGAAAGGACGGTCGCCAGTGTGGGTAGCAGTGTGCTCATCTAGCTGAGCCTTGCGCGAATATTTCTTCTCGCAATACGTGCATTCAAAAGGACGCTCGCCAGTGTGAACACGCATGTGCCTAGTCAGGGCTTGTTTATAGGTAAATTTCTTACCGCACTGCTGGCATGTATTTTCCAGTTTTCTGGTTGGGGATAAAATACCCGTTAAGACGAAAATCCATAATGGAAAAAGATAGACTTACATTGGCAAGGATTGGGTCATCCAGCTCTTCTTTGTGGGGCTTGATATAGCAGGGTCGGGGTCGGTGAGCTTCAGCCTGGTGTGAATAAAAAAGTATTTAATGTCTATTAGATCATTCGTTATGATTGAAAACCTACTTCTTTAGCATTGTTGGATTTTTTGAGCGACCATTAGCGTCATGGCAGGAAAACATTTCTAAAACACTCTTCTTCGAGTCGGAGTCGACCTGTTTCTTAGCCCTAGGGAGTGTGGCTCCTCGGCTACGCTCCAGTTGCCCTTGTTCACCAGCATGCTCTTTACTGTGGATCTGCAGATAAAGGATGTCGATGAATACTGCATGGCATTCTTGGCACTTAAACAGGCCATTGTCGCTGTGCTTGACACGCGGCTCCCTCAGCTCATTCATGTTCGAGAATGATCGCGGGCCCTCAAAGGCTGCCAGTGGAATGTGCTCTTGTTGATGTCTCCTTAGACTACGTTCATTTGCATAAAAGCGTGAGCAGTGGGGACACTTATGGCACGTCTTATTAATGTGATATTCGAGCTTAAACTGTGAGTCAAAACATTTATAGCATTGCGGACATGGAAGTTCTGCGGTACTACGAATTTTTCTGGAAGAAATGCTTTCCAGACGATCATTGTTGTGGTCTTCTAGGGTCTTCTTTTTCTGCGACGGACTACGATACGTGCTCTTTTTTCCAAGAGGCTTCATTTTGCTTCTTTAAGGAGAAAATTAACAATGGTTTGGTTTAAAATGCCAATTACTTACATTTCCGCCGTCTGATTGTTCTTGTGACTGGTGGTATGTCTTTTCAGGTGGTACTTAGTTCTAAATCCTTTGCCACAAACATCACAAATGAACGGAAACTTGCCAAAGTGACGCCTGGGGGACAATTTTAATTACAATTTATAAACACTGCTCAGTAGTACTTACATTTCATGCCATCTTAAATTTTGGCTGCGCGAGACTACCTTGCCGCACCACTTGCACTCATACAGTTTGACCAACTTCGCCCTGTCATCAGTTTCTTGGTTCTCGGTATCCGTTGATATACTCATACGAATTTCCATCGTCTCCAAGGAATCCTCTTTTTCTAATGGATGGTTATTTTTCTCTGACTCCTGCCTCTTATTCTCTTTGTTCGATTGTATATTTTTTCTTATGTGAACCTCATTTTCTCTCAAAGCGTGCTCTAATTTCAGATTGTTAAGTTTCGATTCTGCCACCTGAGCTAGCTCGGGCACATGCTCTATTTTGTGAATATCAGGTGTATCCATTGAAACACTCATCTTCAGGCCAGCCTGTTCATCCACGTAGTCCCAACGAGGGTTCCTTACTGTGTAAGTGCCTTCCTCAATGTCAATGTCAAAATTGGCAATGTCTTCCTGCAGACTAATACACATGTGAGCCTCGTCGTAAGCGTTGTGCTCCACCACCTCCGTCTTCACGGGCAGCAGAACAATCTCGTGCTCTGCCTTGATCCCATGGCTTTCATTTGCACGAATGAGATTCTCCTCTTTATCGCTGATATTAATTGTGTACGTTTCATTATTTTCCGAAACGCTTGATAAAACTGTATGAAAACGTTTCTGCTGCGTTTTCTTTAGAAAACGTTGATAATTTTCAGATCCTTGGTCCAATTTTAGCTTATAACGATATGCACTCTGGACCCCATTAATGCAGGAGTGGCATATAAGCTGCGGCATAGAGTCCCCGCGCTCCACAGAATTCTCAGGTGAGAACTGGCTTATGACGTAGGCAGGGCTATTTTCAGGCAGCTCCCAGAGATTGCAGACTTCAGCGAATATATCTACCAGTAGAACGGAATCATCCAGGCACACCCGGCACACCTTCGCCATTCTTTGCGCTGGTTTTTTTTTTTTTGTAAATTTCGGCAGCAAAGCTGCGACTATGCAAATTTTAATTTCCGATTATAGGCCAGATGATCAGCTGTAAACAAAAAGTGTTAAAGTGTGCGTGTTGGGCGCATTGAGATGCCAAAAGGGGCTTTAAAGGGTTAAAGTTTGTTTGTTTTGGCTATTTTAATTAAACAAAAGACAGCGACTAAATCATGTTAATTTTGTGTGACAAAAGCACAAACTAACAAATATTTTTGTGGATGGTTTTTGTACGGTCTTAAATATACGCGCACTTTTCCAACCAACACCAAACAGGTTGGCAGCACCACAGCAGTCAGCTGATTGGGTTCGTTGGAAATCTAGCTTTATATTAATTAATTATAATAATAGTTATGCGAGTGGCGTGGCCGCAATCAAAGCGAGCGATACAGTGATCAATGTCACATTATTTTGCTGCTCTCAATAAATTTTCATGTAACGTGATCTACACCCAGTGGAAGCAGACAATCAGTAACCACAACTCGGCGAAAACTTGGAAGACGTTTAAGCGCGACCACAAAACGACCAGCAAGCGCCAGAGTAACCAAATGCTGAACCAACTTCCTCTTTATGCCAGCGGCGAGATTGTGAGGGGATTTGGCCGAGGCTCCAAAGAGCTCGGCATTCCAACAGGTTCGTGTGAATTGTACCATGACGGCGAAGGTCGTTTCCAATAGATAACCAAACCACTCATCTATTTTATTTATAGCCAACTTTCCGCTGGAGGTGGTAAAGTCTTTACCCGAATCCCTGCTCACAGGCGTCTACTACGGGTGGGCGAATGTGGACAGCGGACCCGTGCACAAAATGGTTCTCAGCGTCGGCTGGAATCCATTCTACAACAACACAGAAAAGAGCGTGGAGACGCATATGCTGCATGAATTCAACTGCGATCTATATGGCCAGTTACTTAAGATCTGCATAGTTGGCTATCTGCGACCTGAAAAAAGCTTTGACTCCCTGGAGGCACTTATAACTGCCATTAAGGCGGACATTGAGCATGCCAAAGCGCACCTGGAATCGCCAGAAAATAAGAAGCTACAAGAGGCTACTTTCTTTGCCAAAAATCCTAACGGATCTGAATGTAAATAGTTATTCCAGAATGTATCCTATCATTTAATTAGCACTATGTACATAAGAGAGTTCGAATATCGCTTCAAGGTACTTAAGTTGGGTGTTGAATTGAAATTAATCATGACAAGAAAATATATACATATGTATGTACATATGCTACATTCTATTTCATAATTGTCTAAATCTAAATGATAAACCTTATCCCAAATTATAATCTATAATATAAAACTGCTGACTCATGAGATTTAAATTCGCCATTAGCTCAATTATTCTTGGTACAACTTTAATTTTAATAATTTATTAATTAATTTATTAAATCATTTGCTTTCTTATAAAATATCGGGTAGTCTTATCGATAAGAGTACATTTCTTTCAGGCTCCTTTAATATCTGAATTATCAACTGCAGTCAGTTTGCACTCTGCTCATCTTGAACTTCTACTCATTTAATTACCTTTCTTAATCCATTCTATTTACTTTTTTTGATTGAATTCAGTTTTAGCCGATCGAAAGGTTTTAAGTCTAGTATCGATAGTTAAAGCCCTATCGATATTGCGCTTGATCGGACCCCCACCCCCCGACACCCACAAATAAGGTGCGCGTGCGAAGCGTGCGAACAATTTTCGTGTATAAAACTGTTGCGTAAATCAACAGGTAAATCATTCGACGCTTTGGTCCAACTGCCCAACTAACTAGAATATCAATCTGCATTCGAACCCAGCGGCAGCAACAACATGTCGACGCCACCGGAGCAGCAACAACATGTGCGCGTGGAGGCAACGCAACAAGTGGAGGCTGCCTCGGCATTGACTGCGAATGCGACTGCAATGCCCACGTCCATTGGGGAGAGTAAGGAGCTAACCGGTTTGACGCACGAATGTGGAGTCTTTGGGGCGATTGCTTGCGGAGATTGGCCCACGCAGATAGACATTGCGCACGTGATTTGCCTGGGCCTGGTGGCGTTGCAGCATCGCGGCCAGGAGTCAGCTGGCATCGCCACCAGCGAGGGCAAGTCCTCTACGAACTTTAACGTTCACAAGGGCATGGGCATGATCAGCACCCTCTTCAACGACGATTCGATGAAGAAGCTGCGCGGCAACTTGGGCATTGGACACACCCGCTACTCCACGGCCGGCGGCTCTGGAGTGGTCAACTGCCAGCCCTTTGTGGTGCACACGGCTCACGGAGCCATGGCACTGGCTCACAACGGTGAGCTGGTCAACAACGAATCTCTGCGTCGCGAGGTGTTGGCACGAGGCGTGGGTCTCTCCACCCACAGCGACAGCGAGCTGATTGCTCAGTCTTTGTGCTGCGCCCCCGAGGATGTGTCCGAGCTGGATGGCCCCAATTGGCCGGCCAGGATCAGGCACTTCATGATGCTGGCTCCCCTCTCCTACTCCCTGGTCATCATGCTAAAGGACAAGATCTACGCGGTACGCGATACCTACGGCAATCGGCCTCTGTGCATTGGAAAGATTGTGCCTATTAATGCGGGCCACGGCAACAGCTCGGAGACCCCGGCCGACGGCTGGGTGGTGTCGAGCGAGAGTTGTGGCTTCCTCTCGATCGGAGCCCGCTATGTGCGCGAAGTGGAGCCCGGCGAGATCGTGGAGCTGACTCGCAGCGGCTATCGCACTGTGGACATTGTGGAGCGTCCGGACTTCAAGCGCATGGCATTCTGTATCTTCGAGTACGTCTACTTTGCCCGTGGCGACAGCATCTTCGAAGGTCAGATGGTATACTCAGTGCGCATGCAGTGCGGCCGGCAGCTGTGGCGCGAGGCTCCCGTTGAGGCGGATATTGTGAGCTCGGTGCCCGAGTCTGGCACAGCGGCATCTCATGGCTATGCCCGGGAATCTGGTCTGGAATTTGCCGAAGTGCTCTGCAGGAATCGCTATGTGGGTCGCACCTTTATCCAGCCCTCCACACGCCTTCGACAGTTGGGAGTGGCCAAGAAATTCGGTGCTCTGTCTGAGAATGTGGCCGGAAAGCGGCTTGTTCTTATCGACGACTCCATTGTGAGGGGCAACACCATTGGGCCGATTATCAAGCTGTTGCGCGACGCAGGGGCTCGCGAGGTACACATACGCATTGCCAGCCCCCCACTGCAATATCCCTGCTACATGGGTATCAACATACCCACGCGCGAGGAGCTGATCGCCAACAAGCTGAATGCCGATCAATTGGCCCGGCATGTGGGCGCCGACAGCTTGGCTTATCTCAGTGTCGCCGGTCTGGTGCAGGCTGTCCAGCTGAAGCAGCAGTCGGCCGATATTGGCGACGGAGATGGCAAGGGCAAAGGCAAGGCCATGGGGCATTGCACCGCCTGCCTCACCGGCGAGTATCCAGGCGGTCTGCCCGACGAACTGAGCTGGTGATCGCATGCAAAGGCGATGAAGGAAAATGTAGTTCAAAAATGTAGGTTCTGGAAACCAGTTTGTTTGCATCTCCCCCCCTGTTTGCTTGCTACTCTGAACCCCCACCCACCACACAAAAACATACAACAGTATCAAAGCCATTGACTGGCCAAGGAATTGCTGTCACAAACTTTTGCATTTAGAACCCATTCCGCTCTTAAATAATATTTTTGTAGAGACTAACTATTTAGGTCGTAAGTGAAAAGCGCTCTCTAAAGACATAAACTATACTCATAGTACAAAATGTAGCCTTCTATGTTGTCTATCTGTGCAAAATGCACTTTACTTTTGAATATCAATATACGTTTGTTAATTGCAAATGCCAATAAAAGACATGATCATAAAAACAACAAAACTGGATGTAAGAAATTGGTAGTACATATCAGATAACAGCATCGTATTCGAGGTGCAATGGCAATCCCATGGCAAGGTCTGTTCAATCAGCCGCCGCCATTGGGTCAATGGTTGTAATGCATCATTTCAGATGGAGATTGTTGAATACTTATGAATGTGCATCGTGTAAACGTTAATTGCTTTTCAGCCCTGTAATACAAAGCCAAACCAGATCTAAAGAACGATAACGATACAGGGACACAACCATCTATTGATGCACTTTAAACTTATTCTATTTAAACTACTTGTTCCTAGGATTCTAGCATATTCTCAAAGTCCTTAAGCTCCAGCTCCCTTTCAATAACCTGCGTGTACAAATTATCCAGGGTCTCTTGCATGCGCTGTTTTAGTGTGGCATTTTGGATGGATGCAATTTCCATTGATTTTTGCGTCTGCTGGGCCTTCAGCTCACTGAGCTGCCGCGTTAGCTGGTTGATCTTCTCGTGCACCTGCTGTTGTGTGTACTGTGGCTGCGGTTCATCCATAAACTCCATATTCTCAAACTCCTCTCGTTTCGTTAGCATTTGGCTGTCATAGAAGCCGCTTGGAGCTGCCAGGTTTGAGCTGGAGCCAGCCGCACTCAATTTGGGACTGCTCGGCTCTTGGCCAAACATGGCTTTGGTAAATTCGTTCTCCTCCATTTTCATGCCGCTGGTTCCGCCAGCACCACTGGTGCTGGCCCCAAAGAAGTCGGACATCCGTGAATCGTCTGCTGAAAGGCGGGAGGAATCCTCGAGCTCGCGTCGCTGCATTGTGTTGTTCCGCTGTTCGCCATCGTCTTCGTCATCTGTGGTGGACACCTCCTCGCCGAAGATGTCGTGGGCTGCCACGCCCATGTTGGGAGCACGATGTTGAGTGGCGAAATTGCTGGTATCATCATCATCCGATTCCACATTGATATCGCGCTGCATGCCATTATCATTAATTGCCTTTTCGCTGGCATTCATGGTGTTGTCGTCCTGCATTTCATCATCCGCGTCGTTGTATTGCTTCATATCCGACTGATCCAGATCGTCGGAGGGCTTGTCCTCCTCATTGATTATCTCGTAGTCGACACGAACCGCCTCGTTGTCGATGCGAAGCAAATGCTTGACCTCCTTCTCGATTTCGGGTGCCTCCACGTTCTTTTTTTTCAGTGTTTTGCGGAAGCGACGCTTGCGGGCGTTCTTGCAGGGCGGTGTTATGCCATGCGGCCACAAATACTTCTTGTCCACCTTGTTGGGATCCTTCTTCTTGTTCTTGTTCGGCGACTCCTTCTCGGGCTCCTCATCGGGCTCTTCTTTGCAGATCAGAATTTGGCAAATGTCCGCCGACTTATAGAAGCTCTTGTTGTCAATGGTCTTGTAGCTCTCTACAACCGTTGGCAGGTCCACGAGCTTCGTGTAGAGCAACTGGTCATCCAGCCGGACCTCACCGTATCGCAGGTCCTGATCCAATTGAATGGATAATCTATCCTTTATGTTCCCCGCCTGAATGGCTTCGTGGACAGTGTCGGCCATTTCCTTCGGTACACGCATTATAAAGTGGCTCTCCAGCTCAATGCCATCGTCGCGAGGCTTTCGCTCATTCTCCTTGGCCTTGTCGCTCTTCTTTTCAAACATTTGCAAACGTTTAAATGTATTTATTTCCCGATTTTTCCAGAATTGCGGACAACTTCTTCTTCTTTGTTTATTTGACCGATTATTAGGGTTGCCAGCATTTTGCAATTTGAACCACAGGTTCTGGTTCCCTCAGCCCCGATAAACCTGATGACAACCCTGCTCTGCTCCAATTTCTTCTTCTCATCCCCCTTTTGCTATGACGGAAAACACGAATTAATGTGGATTTTTTATAGTTTATAACATAAAAACGCATTTGTAGTTAAATTTTTTGTGCTTGTGGTAGTCGGAAGCAAAACAGCGATACACGCAAAATGCTAGGCATAAATGTTTTAGCCGGTATCTCCATAGCGCTCTTACTTTTGAGCACCTGCTCGGCGCTGTACGAGGACCAGATTAAGAAATTCGACTGGTAAGTGACACAACACAACCACTCATTGACCATTGACCATCATCTGTGTAACGAGTCGTATGATCATCATCCACAACCAGGCGAAGCGTGCATGTGGGAGCCCTGAAGCAGTCTCGCGTCGATTTGAATCACTTTCAACCGCGTTTGCTCGTCAGCACTCATGAGGATGTCGTGGCCTTTTTATGCCCGAAAACCGGCTCCATTTTGTGGCGACAGGTGCTCGAACAGAAGCCGCGCGGCGACATTAAGCTGCTCCAAGTGAGCGGATTCTCGGTGGATAGCAGCGATACGGCGGCCGCACCAATTGGCACCAATCTGGGATTCGATATGCTCACAGTGCAGGGCCATGCGCCTGCTTTGGTGCGTGGCTGGAATACCAATATTGGAACTATTGAATGGGAATGGTCCATAATGCCTTTGAATTCCGAGAAAGCCCAGGATGCCCTCTGGTTCTATAGCAATTCTATTCTCTATCACATTGTTCCGGCTTGGCGAAGCCACCTCGAGGTCACCGCTTACTTTGCCAGCTCTGGCCACAGCACTGGCAGCACCAGCAAGATCATGGCCTCCTGGATCACTAGAGAAAGCTGTACCCTCAGCGGTACCTTCTACGTTTGTGTGGACAGCAAGCAGCTGATCAGCTTGGATTTGGTGTCGAAGAGCACGCAAGTGATAAGAACTGCACTGGAAAGTGAGCCCCAGGGAAAAATTGAGGCAGTGGAGGTAAGCCCAGGACCACAAATAGTAGAAGAAGTAGCAAAGAATTATCTTGTAATTTCATTTTCCCCAACAGGGCCTCAATGGCGTTGTAATTGTTGATGGCAAACTCGTGAGCGTTAATAAGGATCAGGCCGTGTGCGGTGCTCTCCAAGGCTCCAGCTATGCTGTGGGCAGCTTTAACTATCGCAAAATTGTGGTATCTGCGGATCTCACATCAGGAGTAGGTGTCTTGTTTAACTCAATGATCCATAATCGTTAATATTTAAATTCTTTCGTTTAGAATCTCAAAATCAATGCTGCGTACTTGGATAATTGCTCTCCCGTTTCTGAGCTGCAGCAGACTCTACAGTTCCCCGAGCACTTTGGACTACCTACGTTAAACAGCTTTGATTGCAAGCTGAAGCGCTCTGGCGATGGAAAGAGTTGTATGTTTGTGTTCAGCACCAGCTCGGAGTCCATTGTGGCCGTGCAGCAGGGAAAAGTGCGTTGGTCGCGCGAAGAGTCTCTGGCCAATGTAATTGATTCGCAGTTCATGGACCTACCCCTGGCCGACACAGAGGGCACTTTGGAGAGCGAAATGAAGGGCAAAGCCGGTAAGATACCATTGCTTAATGCTAGGAATTAGTTTATTTAATATTTACCCCTAAAAATTGCACCCCCAAAAGTGGATTCCACAAGTTTTGACAGTAAGATATGCCAAAAGTGTTTATTTCTAAATAATCTTTACGATATTTAATCTAAATTGATGACTTTTTTCTTATTTAGGAGACATTGCCAGTGCCTTTTTGCGTCGCATTAGCACGCAGGCAGTTCAAATCAGAAGCCTATTCCTTCATGTCATCGGTCTGGGGCCACCGCCTACGGACACACAGCGGGCGGGTTTGGTTCGCGACTCCTTTGGCCTCCACAAGATACTCGTGCTGCTCACACGCAGTGGAAAGATATTTGGCATCGACAACATCTCGGGCAAACATCACTGGCAGCTGTATCTACCGAAAGTAAATGCTTTCGACAATGCCGAGCAAATGCATTTAATTGTACAGCGCACCTCCAAACACTTTCCACTGCAGCCCCTGTGCGCCATTGTGGCCAAGAATTCTGTAAGACCGGCATGAAAATCTTTTAATAGGAACTCTTAATAATTATAAATCCTCATTTATTTACAGATCAATGGAAATGGTGTGCTGTATCGCTTCAATCCCATCACGGGACAGGCCACAGAGGGCGGACTACTGCACCTAGACTTTAAGATCAAACAGCTTTCATTGCTGGCCGAGACGGAAAAAGACTTTGTCAAGGGCATACTGATATTCGATGCCTCAAATCAGGTGCATGTGTATCCCCAGCATGCCACACCATTGGTAAATGAGTGAATATCTAATCCAAAAAGCGACCTTTGACCCTCTAAGAATATCGTTTGCAGGCCGATGGAATGTATCTCTATACCGCTGATGTGAAGAGCGCTCAACTCGAGGGATACTTTGTAAAATATGCGGGTGGAGTGAGTACTGAAACTTCAAACCGTAGAAAAACCCACTAATTGAATGGTTTTCCTCCACAGAAACTGTCGTGCACACACATTTGGAATGCCCGTTTGGGCGGACATCATTCCGAGCAGCAAATCATTGCTGTTGCCGGCAAGAATCCCATTGAGCATGTCCACTCCCAGGGCCGTGTGCTGGGCGATCGTTCTGTGCTTTACAAATATATCAATCCCAATTTAGTGGCCTTCGTTACCCAGGCCCCTGATGCCACACATAAATGTAAGCTGGGTCTGCAAGCCAAGTGCTTAGTAAAATCTATAATAATGTTAATCATTCCTTTAGCCGTGCTTAACTTGTATTTGGTGGATGTTGTGTCGGGCTCTGTGATATTCTCGATGACCCATCGCAAGGTGCGCGCACCATTGTCCATTGTGCACTCGGAAAATTGGCTCGCTTACTCTTACTTCAATGAGAAAGTGCGACGCACGGAGATTAGTGAGTTAAACAGGATATTTTAATGTACATTTTATACGACATTCCATTTTACAGCCACTATTGAACTGTACGAGGGTAAGGCGCAGGCAAACAGTAGCGTTTGGAGCTCTCTGACGGCGCCGCCAATGCCGCTCGTTGAGCGTCAGTCCTATATCATACCCGCAATAGTTGAAGCGCTCCGCGAGACGATCACAGAGCGTGGAATTACCAATAAGCATGTGCTAATTGGCACTGCCAGTGGTTCCATTATTGAAATGCCTTGGCATTTGCTGGATCCTCGACGTCCCATTGCTTCCACGACCCAGGGACGCGAAGAGGGGGCCATTCCCTATATACCCGAGTTGCCTTTGCCTACGGAAAGCCATATTAACTATAACCAGACGGTGGCACGCCTGCGTAACATTTACACTGCGCCCAGCGGTCTGGAGAGTACCTGTCTAGTCGTTGCCACGGGTTTAGGTTCGTACTGCTCTATATATTGTCCTTCTGGATGACTAAATTGTTTAATTATGTTGCAGATTTGTTCGTTACTCGCGTTGCGCCCTCGAAGACGTTCGATTTGTTGAAGGAGGACTTTGACTATATACTAATTTCCATAGTGCTAGTCGCTCTCACATCGGGCTCGTTGATTGTTAAGCATTTAGCGTCGCGTAAATTGCTCAAGCAGGCGTGGAAATAGGCGCGGCGTGTGGTGGGCATTATTATTATTAAATAATTGCTTTATATACATACATATACAATTTTACTGCGACCAAATATAACAAGGGATGATGATGATGATGACGATCGATAAGGATGAAGAAGGAGACGTAAAAGGAAGATTAGAAGCGAAGAGAATATTGATATACATAACATAATTCTAGTAGCTGCATTACATCCAAATAATGCAATCGATGAACCATATTTTCTCAACGCTAAGCCTAGGCAATTATTTATAATTAATTATATAGCGTATAGTTAAATCAACAAAACAAATAATTCTAATTAGCTGTTGAAAAAGGTTATTCATTGCATTTTTCTGTTCCTTTTCATTTGTGTGTATGTTTCAATTTTCCATATTTGAAGAATATCAGCATTGAAGTTGTGTGTTTAAAATTTAGTTAATAAATGCATTTGTAAAGGAGGACAAAGGTAAATAAAATGCGTTTTTGTCATAATCATATTAAAATAAAGTTCATTTTCTTTTTAAATTACGCGCTGTGCACGTTGTGCAGCAAACAGCTGTTTTTGTCTTTTTCTTGCGGCTGGCGTGCATGTCAGGATTTCATCAATCTATTAAATTTCATTTTCAACGGTAAATAGAAATCCAATAAAAGCAAGTATTAAGAATACACCTGTTAATAGAAAATTGATTCATCAATCGTATAAAATTATGATGGCATGACTAAATGTTCTATATAGCTGAGAATATTCCAAAGAATATCAAAAACGAGGAATATGTAAAATAGAACTTGAGCTCGTCGTATATTTACGGTATATTTTTAAAATGAGATGGTATATTTTGGTATATTTCTCAGGGTCGGACGGTGTACTTTAACGATAAATCCGCGGCCACACCGGTGCATATGTCCAAAACCATGGCCCTCCGTGTTTTTGGTTTAAATTTAGTAAAAACTAACAGAAGTCTGCTGCAAAATGCGTGCAAGGCAACGGCCCTGCCTGCAGGCCATACGGTAAGTAGATCTAGTGCAGATATAGAGCTTGTTATGTGCTCAATTCGGTTGCTTCAATAATGCCAAACGTTTGCATAACATTCTCAGGTGGCGGAGGCTTCATATGCCACAGAAGTGACGGTCCACGCCTCACCGGCGGCTATTCAAAAGCAAAAGGTCAGCAAAGCCATGAAGGCCTATCTGAAACGTGCCACCGAGCACGACGAGTTCATGAAAACGCAGCACCTGGAGTTCCAAATCGGCAAGCGGCACTTGGCCAATATGATGGGTGCCGATGCCGAGACCTTTACCCAGGAAGACATCGATGTAAGTAGATCTCTTTCGGATATGGTATTTAACTGACGAAATGTGCTTTGCAGGAGGCCATATCGTATTTGTTTCCCTCTGGTTTGTACGATCCAAAAGCAAGGCCCGCCATGAAGACACCAGAGGAAGTTTTTCCCGCCCGCAAGGCAGCAGAGTTCGATGAGACGGGCAGGCCGTTTCATAGCATGTTCTACACGGGAAAACCCAATTTCTTTCAGCTTCTACATGTGAGTTAACTGGATTTGATGTTAATTTAATTAGAATTCATATTTATCTGGTAAAATTCCAGGAAATTGTGGAGGAAACCAACAAATTGTACGAACTAGAGGAGCGAATGCTGCGTCGTGGCATAAAGCCTGATGAAAACCAAAAGCTGTAGGTATCACGAGTTCATTACATAAGCGTTTTATCATACGAATTTTTTGTTATTTGCCAGAGAAATCGCTGGTTTCCAGGTTCTGCCCAAAGATCAACTGGAAACGCAGTTGGTGGAGAGCATTGCGGACATTGAATACACGAACTTTTCCAACTCAATGGATCGTTTGATTGCCTCGCCATACGCCTACAAGAGCAAGGCATTTATTGAACGTTATCTAAAGCCCCTGATGGACCAGTCCAAGCAGCTGGAGGTACCAAAGCCAAAGATCGATGAGCAGGGACGTCAGTACATCACTACCTATGAGTGTCTGCGCAAGACGGCCCGTGCGGATGTCACCGTACGAATGCCAGGCACTGGCAAGATCAGCATCAATGGCCAGGATATCTCCTACTTTGAGGACGAAAACAGCAGGGAACAGGTGAGTGGATGAAGGATGGGGGCTTTTTTTGTAACAATAGATATAGCATATGTATTTATTAAGATTATAAATTATGATTTAAACGATTCTTCTTCGAAACAACAAAAGACACAGCCTAAAACCAGCCACACATCAAAACTGCTCGCCTTCTCTAATGTATCTAAACTCTAGATTACAGATAGTGTTGTATATATATAATAGTATATAGTATAGTATGGTATAGTATAGAATATGGTGTGGTATATGGCTATATATATGTATATAGTATACAGATATCAAAAATTTCTTCTATGATAATATCAACAATCTTCTGGGGGGTCAAAAACACTTACACAATAGGAGGGAACATCTAAATCTTCAATTCTAAACATATATTTATATATATATATCGAATAATTTATCATTTTACTAAATGCTTTTAGCAACTATTTGCGCAGATTCTGCTTTTGCTGATTGGAAATGACAATCAGCAGCTTATCGATCACCTTGCTCGCCTGCTGTTGCTGCGATATGAGGGCCTGCTTCAGTTCCTGTATCTCCTGCGTGAGGAACTCGATGCGATCGGCATTCTCATCGATTTTGGTCGTTAGCGTTGTGAATTGTCCCGCATCTGGGTCGGGATCGCCAGCCAGCACATAGCCCGTTGAGGCACAGCCATTACTCGTGCTGTTGTTGTACTTGTTCTTGTAGGACAGATAGTTCTCTGCCGGATTCTTCGAGGATATGGTGTGTCCAAATTGTTTACGCATCTTTCCGACCTCATAGGCCTTCATTAGAATGTCCCTGGGCAGGCGCTTCTCACTTGGATTCAACGGTTTGACACACAAGACAACGCGATACGCCTGAGGGGATACCAAGGCCGTGTAGTGCAAGAGATTCCTCAACCAAGTGGGCAGATATCCATTGAACAGCGCCGATTCGATGTAGCTGATGAGCTTCGTCTGTCGCACTAGCTTTGAGAGGCCAGCCGTCTTTTTGAGACCCTGAATATCGTGCACTGCAATGCCCACGAGAAGATTCATCAGGATTATGGTGACAAAGAGTAGAAACAGCACAAAGGTGATCTGCGCGCTGACCTCCAGCAGAAAGGGTGGATCTTTGCCATCCGGATCGTTGATCAGCAGCGATAAATCCTGTTCGCCAATCATCATGACCAGCACCGATATGAAGCCCATAAATGGATTGGCAAATGACGACGAGGAGGGAAAGATCACACAAAAGCTAATGGTGAAGCCAATCAGCATGCAAGAGTAGGCCATAAAGAGCTTGGCAAACTCCCCCTGGACCTTGGTATACATGGCCACATAGACATCGAACACTGGCAGCTGTCCGATCATCAGCATGAGATTTGTCCAACCCAACAGCACAGCAAAGGCGCCAATGTGATTCTGAAAGGTGTACGTCTTGTTCGTGTAGATGTAGGAGATGACAAAAACGCTGGTGATCACAAACCACTCCATTATGTTCTCCACTTGTGTCACATAATGTCGAAACGAAGAGTAGCCCGTAATGCCGTAAACCTTTCGGAATATCTCCACTATGGTGATGGCCACCAGGACCCACCATTGCATTTCCATCACAAACGGATTGTTGCGCAGCATATCCCCAAGGATAGACTGCTTTTGGCATAGTTCCTGGGCCTGAATGGTCGTATTGTCATCCTTGCTGCCATTGTAGCAGTTGTGGGCAAGAGCCGTCAGCACGTAGAGCGTTAAGAAGAGCACAAAGCTGAAGCAGAAGATCAGGCGTCCAATGTAGTATTTGCGTATTTTTCCCCATTTGATGTACAGAAAGGAGGAGCAGAGCGGATGCTCTAGTATCTCCTTTTGGCCCTCGTCGACAAAGGTGTTCAGATAGCTAATCTCCCGGGGATGACAATGCTGCAGCAATTGGCGAAAGTCCAGCTCCAGTTCCACCTCACGATTGACAGGATCCTAAACGGGAGGAACACACATATTAAATTACTTGTAATGTTGCCGCATGAAGGTGTGCTTCCGCAACTCACCTGTGAATGATGCAGCGTGATGGCTGCATCCAACTTCTGTCGGATCATGGCCACCGATGAGGGTGTCTTCCTGGTGATCACGTTGAGTGCAGATGTGCCCTTCTTCGATTTGGTGGTCACATCTGCCCCATGGAATATCAGCATCTCCACGCACTGCACGAGGCCATCCAGCGCAGCCAAATGGAGAGCCGTAAAGCCGTAGATATCCTTGTGATTGACATTGGCACCCCACTGGATGAGCGTCTCCATGATGTCGTAGGCATTCTCTGACTTTCCCACCGCCGCGTGGAGCGGCGTGCGATGATCAAAGTCCTCGGCGTTGGCATCGGCATTCCCGTTCCTCAGCAGCGACTCCACGCACTCCAGGCTCGAAGTGCGTGCGGCCAGATGGAGCGGCGTAAAGCCTCGATGGTTCTTTAACTTGGCATCCGCGCCCTTGGCCAGCAGCAGGTCCACACACTCCACGTTTCCCTCATCCGCAGCGAGATGCAGAGCCGTCGACTCCTTCTCTCGAATGCAGATCCTCACATTCGCATCCGCATTGGGGGCATTGAGCAGGGTCTCGAGGCACTGCATATTGCCCAGATCGGCGGCCAAATGGATAGCATTGGTGCCATTCGGCTTCAGGGAGTTCACGTCGGCTCCCTCGCTTATGAAGATCTGCAGACACTCGAGGGCATTCGAACGCACGGCGCAGTGCAGGAGACTCTCCTCGCAGTTCGGTTTATTGGTGTCCTTGGTGATGTCGGCCCCATTGTTGATTAGGAACTTGGCCGCCTCAGCGGCATTGCCAAAGGCGGCACAATGCAGTGGGGTATAGCACTTGGACTGCAGATTCACATTCATTCCCTTGGAGACGAGCAATCCCAGCGTTGCCAGGCATCCGCTGAAGGCCGCCAAATGCATGGAGGAGATGCCATTCTGATCGCAAAAGTGCAGATCGGCTCCCACCTCCATCAGGCCTTCGATGAGGTCCCATCGCTTGAGGAACGCGGCCCACAAATAGCATAGATTCTTCTCCAATTTCGAGGCGGACTCAAAGTGCGTCTTCGTGCTCTCGGCCACCACATTGCCTTGCTCAATGTCCTCGAATAAACGTACTCGCCCGGTGGCGCTCTTCATCTGATCGATGAGACTAATCCGGAGCGTATCATTGCAGATCTGAACGCTCAGCTCGCTGGTGGGCTCCTCGAAGCTGTCGTACATTGACGGTGCACTCTCCGCCGGCGGCGACGGTCCACACTCCATGTATTCGAATTCTCCAGCTGTCGGATACTGGGCTTCGATCATGGCGTCCGTGTTGTTATTCCGCCATCGCACCATCAGGTTGGGTGGAATCGATTTGAAGCTATGTTGAAGAGATGTTTTTCTATGATTAGTGAAAGATAGTTTTGTATTGGTGGAACATAGAAATTTAATTAGTCTCGGGTTTGACACACGTTTAGCTCATTAGTGGAAACAAGTGGGGGGTTTGGTGTAGAAAGAACTTTAAGGTATAGATTAGTTTACTTATTCAAAACATGTCTTTGGCTAACTATAAATATATCTTTGGTAAACGAATAAAATTCGTTTATTTAGAAGCTACTATTTGGAAACACATTTAAAAATCATCAAAGTTATACCATTGATTACTAAATTTTCCGCACTTAAAAATAATTATTTTCTTCCGTTTTGCCGTTTTACTATAAGAAAAAATTTCATTTTTTTTAAGAATTTCTCCACATTTAAAAATCACTATTTTCTTTGTTTTGATATCAAAAAAGTTATACCATTAGTTACCGAATTGTTAAGGATATTTGACATATTTTGTCTTTGTCTCGGCTTTGTTTTTCTTAAAAGTCCATTAAGAACTCTGAATTGTTTGCTTTTGTTCAGAAAACTTCTCCAACTGTTTACAGACATATGTTTTTATCAGTTCTACCATTAGTTTCCGAATGGTTAATGATTCATACACTTTGAATTAAAACTTGGAGCATAAGATAAAGTCGCAGTTGTCTGGCTCTCATCTCTGTTTTTTATAGATTGTAAATCTGTTTTTCATTGCTTGTAAATGGCACTGAGAGCACTAGAGTTCGAGACTCTGTTTTGTTTGTTGAGAGCATGCATAATTTTAAATAATTTTATTTTATTTTATTTTTCTTGCTTTCAGAGTTATGCCAACTTTGGCGATATATTTTGTTGTTGCTTTTTTTTTTTGATGGATTGTCCGAGTGCCGGCTGTGATATCTGGCGAAGTCCAAGACCAAAGCTTGAGTCGCTTTATGGCTGATATGTATTTTATTTTTTGCATAATTTTAGACCTTGTCCATGCACTTGTTGTATAACTTTTGGGTGGCTTTTACAGTGGGGGTAAGGGCTGGCTACCCTGCCTTTTCTTTGTTGATCACTTAGCTTAACTCTCTTTCTCTCTCTCTCTTTATCTCACATTTAAAATACGTACACCGTTTGCAGCCATATCCACGGATGATGCCAATTCGCCAATGAGCTATTTTCAATTTCTAATTTCATTTCCAAAATACATGGGAGACAAAGCACCGCCGAATGCCATACGGACTACGGACCGGATCGGATCGGATCGAAAAGGGGGTGGTAGGGGGTTGTAGTCGAACGGAATGGAACGGAACGGGACAAGTGGCTTACAATGGAAGCCTTTTGTGGTGATTATACAATTGTGTTCATCTCTAACGGGCGGAAAATGCAAAAATGTTGTGTGAAAAAACGCGAATTTTTCACTTCCGTTTTGTTGTTGCTTGTTTCTATTCTACAGTTTTTCTATTTTTCAATTTTTGTGTGAATGTGTGTGTGTGTGTGGTTTTTGTTGGTTTTATAATCACTACGAACGCGTTTTAGCTTTTTAGGTTTTTCGTTTAAATTTTCAGTCAAGCCACAAACGCGTCCGCCTGCATTGTTGTTCCAAAACCGACTGCCGACTGACCGGACTGAGAGCTTGATGAAAAACCATAAGCCGTTGGTTAAGTCGTCAATCGAGATTTAA